GCAGGCGGTAAACTCGAGTGACTACGCCATCGCCCAGTTCCGGTTTCTCGAGCGCCTGTTACTGGTGCACGGCCGCTGGAATTACATCCGCATTTCCAAGCTGGTGCTGTACATGTTCTACAAGAACATTACACTTGTTATGGTGCAGTACTGGTATGGCTACCTCTCGGGTGCTTCCGGCTCCAAGCTGTACTGGGAGATCGGTGTCCAGCTGTACAATATCGCTTTCACGGGCCTGCCGATTGTTGTCGTGGGTGTGCTCGACAAGGACTTGCCAGCGCCATTCAGCATCGATTACCCGGACCTGTACCGTCGTGGCCCAGATCGGTTTTACTTCAACATGTATACATTTTTCCGCTGGATTGCCGCTGCTTTCTATGAATCGCTGATCATCTTTGTAGTGATGACGTTCGGCTTCAATGCATCGGACAAGGCGGCGGGCAGTGAATCTCGCGTGGAATTCGGCATGGTCGCGTTCTCGCTGACGGTCTTGATCGTGAACATCAAGATCTGGATGATTGCCGATCGATGGACCGTGCTGTCGTTCTCGTTGTGGTTTGGCAGCGTCATGGCGTGGTTCCTTTTTGCGTCCATCGGTACCCAGACGCCCTACATTGCAACGTTCAAGGTCGGTTACGACGAGTTTGGCGCGTTTGCCCCTACTGCTAGGACCTGGGGGTACCTCTTGGTGCTGATCATGGGCTGCTCGCTCGCCCTCGGACGCCACATTTCGTACAACCTCTTCCAGCGGACGTTCCATCCGGACCTGGCTCAGCTCCTCCAGGAGTCGATGGGAGGCTCTTCGCGCCACAAGTCTGAGCGCCGACTTACGATCAACCACGTCGAGGAGCAGACGTTGTCCATGTCACTGGACGACGTGCACACGACGAGTTACTTGAGTGACTTTGGACACACGGACGCCGACATTGTCAAGAGGCAGCACCGTTCACGAAGCTCTGCAAGGACATCACACGAGCAACAGCCAACAAAGGACCCGCCGAGCACGACCGGGACATCAGGTATGCCAGTCAAGTCGGGCGCGACGGAATACTACACAGCCAACGTGTACAGCGAGCCGACGTCCGAGGAGACAACATGGGACCGGGCGCCATCGACGATGCTCCGGCCGACGCCACGCCGCCGCACGACGGGCTACGCTTTCAGTTGCGACGAAGAGACGACGCTCGCCGAGTCGTACATTGCGTCCAACTCGCTGCCCCGCTCGGACGCCATTTCCATTGCGATGCGGAACTCAACGGGAGATGCCAATGGGCGTCGCTATTCTCGCGCGCGTGTGCCTTCGTAGACGCCGACGACGAACAACACAACGACAACGACGGACACAAAAGCTCGACAGGCGTTCACGAGAGCGACTCGACCGTCAACGTGTGACAAGATCGATCCGCTCTCGTGAACGCCTGTCGACTTGAGACATCGTGTCCTTTTGTGTCGCACTGTATTTAAAGGTGCTTGCTCGTAGCTGCTGCTAAGAAGGAACTACTCTTTTCATCACGTGTGTGTATCGTGTATTTGGTGCATTGTGTATGAGGTAAGGGAGGGAAATGGGAATGGGGTGCTGTACTCGATATACGGATCAAAGGACTCTAACCGTCCTGTCCGCTAAGTCTCTCCGTTTCTATTTCTACACATCCTTCCGCTCCGTTAGAAATGCGCCTGTCTCTTGTCTCTCGCCCGACTGTGCGGTTGTGGCCCACAGACACAGTGCCCTGCCGGTGTCTGGTCAGCACGACCATCACTCTTCGATTCGTCGTCATGAGCGCGTGGGAGCAATGGGGCGGCAAGAAGAAGCCCTCGTCGTCGTCGGAGCAAGTTGCAGGACGCCCAAGAGGCGCTGCAGAGTCTGCTGCGCTCGTCTGCCACGTCGTCCAGCGGCCTCGAGAGCGACAGCAGCGCGACAACGACGTCCGTGTTCCAAAAGACGTGGGACTCGGCGCGCGCGTTGACAAAAAGTGCGGTCACTGTGCCAAAAGACGCGAGTGACGCGCTCGAGAGCGGCGCGCGGCAACAGACCGTTGATGACGCCAGTGTCGCCACGTCGTTGGGCGGACGAAAGACCGCGACGAGTCTGCGCGGACTTGGGCTCCCGACGATGAGTTGGTGTGTGCCACGTACAATCAGGCAAGCGAGGGGTCGACAAAAAAGTGACGAAAACAATGTGCTTTTTTGTGGGTTGCTTGTTCAGGAACGCTCGGTTCAAGTACTTTGTAGCCATGACGTTGCTGGGGCTGCTGTTTTTCGGCATGGCATTTGTCTTTCTGCCGTTGGTGAGTAGAGAGGTTGTTGTTTTGCTTTCTTTGCAGCTCGCGTGAAGCCATGTTGTGTCTGTGTGTGTACCTGTTTTCGCTGTTTTTTTTGTGTTGTTGGTGTGACAGAGCAGCGGTTGACCTGTTTTTTTGCTTTTTTTGTAGCTTGTGGTCCGTCCGTCCAAGTTTGCATTGAGTTTTACACTGGGCAGCATGTGCTGCATGAGCGCAGTTGCAATGCTGAAAGGTCCGGCAGCTTATGCTGTGGAACTGTTGCAGCCACATCGACTGCTGCTGACTTGCGCGTACTTTGTGACGCTCGGTAGGACGCAGAAAAGGGGACAGAGCTGGACAACTGATTGCACAAGAGGGGCTGACGCTGTTGTTATTGTTGTTTTTGTTTTTGCTATTGTTGCTGTTGCTGTTGCTGTTGTTGCTGCTGTTATGTTAGGGTGTACGCTGTACAGTTGTCTGGTGCTGGGGGACTACGTGTTCGTCGTGCTGAGTGCGGTCTTGCAGTTACTCACGCTGGGCTCGTTCGCACTGTCTGCGTTCCCCAGTGGTACATCGAGCTTGAGAGGTGAGCTACTGGCGGCGCACAAAGGCGCACGTCATTGAGGTTATTGTTGTTACGGGTGTGGAAGAGGACTGTTGCTCACGCGGGTTGTATGGACGTGATGTGGCAGCATTTACGACGCTGTTTTGGAAGTCAGCGCGCGGTATGGTCCAAGCGATCACGCGTGTCTTGTTGAGATGAGTCTGGACACGTTTCAGCGAGTAGAGACGCACTCGTCGGACGCACATTGCCGCACACGGGCCAAGGCATATGATTGTCGATCAAGTTGCGACGACACATGACGACAAACGTGTGCTGAAGATCCAGTGTGGTTGATCTCAAGCACGTACGCACAGGGCACACTGCGTGTGTATGTGTCTACTATTCCAGACCCGACATCTCAAGCAAACTTTCGACCGACGGCTGTGCGCTCTGTCCGTGTCAACAGATACGTCCAGAGCTCCCGTAGCCATTACGCACAGGCACTACAACGCTACAACACTTTGCTCGCTGCAGAAAATAAATGAGGTCGACGTTTTGCAAGAGCGTCGAAAGGCACACAGAGGAGCAACTGCCGTCGACGCCTCAGGTCCATTGATTTTGTTTTTCAATGTACAGTGAGCTGCTCTCCTTCGCTCCTCGTCGTCGCTCTTTCCTGTCCCTCTCCCTCCTGACGTCACTGCCACAGCCACTCGAGCGCCCCACGACCAGTCAACAACAGCACAGTCTGTACCCCTCTCCGCCATCGGCAAAAGAGCTCGTCACGCTCCGTCTGTATACACCTGACTGCGTTAGGTGGCAATCTCACGATCGTTCGTTCACTTGCGTGGCGCTGTGGGTCTTTTCTTTGGCGGCCTTCGCGGCCGCGCACGCGTCCAAATCGCTCCACGCCTACAACCCCAAAGGCCATAACACGTCAAGTGCACAGTCCAATACAACAAATGGGTCACCACCACAAGCGACGAGTGCGATCGCGCAGCAAAGTCTCTGCCCGCGAGGAACAAAGTCGAACGCACCAGTGCGTCGGTCTGAAAAAGCCGGTGGCCCGCGCCGTCGCGTGGCGGCGGGTGAGTGTCCATCCACTGGATCCCGAGCCCCAGCGCTATGCACAGCACGGCATACCCAGCGCTGCAGAAAAAAGACGCGCGCGTTCGTGGAACGAGACGTTGGGGACGTTACAGTACCAAGAGAGTGAGTGAGTGAGTGAGTGAGTGAGTGAGTGAGTGCATCGACAACAGCAGTGGGGAGGGGTCCGACTCGAAAGAAAGAGCTCGAGAGTCGGACAGACGAACGGACCTCTGAGCGACTGAGAGGGTCTGAAATGGGCGAAACATGAGTCAACACAACGCACGTTGTGGTTTGTGGGTTGTGATGTGTGTTGTGGTTTATGTGTTTGGGTTTGTGGGTTATGTGGTTCTTGGGTTCGCGGGGGTTTCTGGGCGCTTCTGCTGCTGCTGCTGTGAGTAATACGAAAAATCTTCACGCGGTCAACAGCAGGCGGATCTACTTTGCGTATCCCACGGACGCACAAAAGCCGGACAGGAAGAAGGGCAGCGAAGTCAGCTGGCGCGCAGTGCGTCTGTTTGCGTCCGAGCGATGGTGGACACTTTCCTGCGCCGGCTATTGTAATCGTGTTTCGTCATTACCGTAACGCGAGGACTGAGTTTCGAGGCACAGGAGAACGACGGGAGGAGAGTGAGAGTGAGGGTGGGGGTGTGAGGAGGCTGCGGGTGGTAATAATCAAATGGATGCTGAACATCAGGAGGCACGAGACCGTCGAGAGGTATACGTACGTACGACTGTCTCGATCGCAAAAAGCCACATCGTCGGTTGTTTCGTTCTTTCTTCTCATAAACCCACAAGCGACGTCTCGTATGTCCTGGCAGCGATTCATCCAACGCTTCGCTCGCGCATGCGCTGTGTATGTGTCTTCGTCTCGCGCTCACTCGTTCGATCGATCGCTTTGTTTGGCCAAACAGCGTGTTTCCCACCATCCTTTGAATCTCAGGCCGCGGCTACAAATGAGGATAAGTGGTCTCGGCAAGATCGACGATATGGGATGGGACCTGCGCGACGCCTGCGGGTCTATCGATGCCCTTTTGTGCAGACATCCGCTCGCGACTGTCCTCTGATCGAGCGCTCGGCTCAGCATCAGAAGCGAAAACAGCAGTCGAATCAGCAGCAACACGACGAGCGCAGATCATTGTCAACTCACACGGCGTGACTATACTTCTTGGCTTTGTCCATAAACGTCCATGTTCAAGCCAAAACCGCATTGAAACTTACTACTCACTAATTGCTTCCCAATACTTACACACACATACAAACAGACAGACAGACGTAGCCAACCAACTGGTAAAACCACTACTACTAACTAACTAACTAACTACCCGACGAGCTGAAGCGCTTGGACAGACAGTTCGTGCACCACCACGTTGAGACCAGTACAAGACGCGAAATTGCCACACAAACACACAAACAAACGGAATCAATCACTCCCCCCACACAATCACTTGATCCATTCGGCCTTGTCGACTTCCTTCCTTCCTCCTTCCTCCTCCTACTTCTGGAGACAGAAAGAGCGAACCTCGATCGCCCCAAAATGGCATCTTCCAGTCTCAACTCCTCCATGTGGCTCAATGTCAGCGATCCACATGCCGTCCTGGATCTCCTCCGCGCGGATTCCGAACACCGCGCGGCTTTAGCCCATCGGCGGCAGAAAAATCGAGAGTCCATGCAACGCTCGCGCCAGCGCCAACGCGAGCAGTTGCAATGGCTGCGACGGGCTGTCGCCGACTTGGAACAGCAGTACCAGGCGCTCCGCCAACGTGCAAAAAGGGACGCGGGGAAGCACATCGACTGCAATAACACGCGCGAGCGACACGCAAAAGCGCTCGAGCTGCTGCAGCAATTGGGCGCCGAGAACCTCTTCCTCAAAGCGTCGATTCAGTCGCAGGCGTCGTGGGAATTTGACGTTCGACGCGTGCTCGAGACCACAGTGATGCTCGATGGCTCGACAACGGCGTGGCACCGAAACACAGCAGACCCGTCAAGTGGGTCACCGCTTCCCATACATATCGACCTCTTGAATGCCCACGAAGCTGAAGTCGTGTTTGGCCATCGCGAGCGCTCGGAACGCGACGTGAAGCACGTGATCCTCCACAATACACAGGCTGTCAAGCACGTGCAGGTGCAACTCCTCGAGCCGAGTAGCTACGGGAACGGATTCGAAGTGGATCGAGCCGACGTCTTCGGATGGGACGCTCGACGACGTGTTCGAGGCAGCTTTATGGACTTTGTCTTTACGAAACGGTTTACCACTGCAACCGTATCGGTCGCAGAGCTCATGCACAAGACCTGGGCACATGGACTGCACTTGGACAGCGCACGTGCAATCGAACGCGACATCCAGCGACTCGACGTGCTGCAGAAAGTAAACGACAATGCCTACGTGCTCGGACGTGACGTGCAGTCGCCGGACCAGCCGTCCGTGTTCCGAACGACACTGCTGCACTATCGGATGCAAACGACGGGCAAAGTGCCGTTCAATGGCTCGTCGTTGCTCTCGAGTCGTGCCGAGCGTGTCGAAACCAGTCCGCGTCTACGCGCGAGGGGGTATGTCATTGGGACGCAGAGCCTGAATCCAGCCGCTACTTCCAGTGCCAAACTCTTTCCGGATCGTGCGGGGATGGAGCCATACGCGCCACTTGTGTGGGCCGAACTCGCACTGACGATTGAAATGCTGCAAGTGTCCGACTGTGTCACGGGCGAAGATAAGTACATGCAAGTGCGGTGGTCGGGTCAAGCGAATTACGGCTCTTCGAACGACGCACATCGAAACGCAGCCGATATCGTCACGACGGTCATGCGCTGGGAACTCGGCACCATCGCGCCCGTGATTCAATTGAACCTGACTGTCGATAGTGTTGAACGAGACGTGACTCACGAGATGGCGAGTAAATAAACACGAAACCACGTGTTGGTATCATCATCATCGAGAGAGGCGTTGCGAGTCAGTGCGAATAGAGATGTCGACTATCGATTCGCACTGACTCGCAATGTCTCTCTCGAGTGACTGACGACTGCACCGAAGGAGACCTGTTTGTTTGGCCGCACAAGAAGAGATCACCTCTGATTGCAGGAGGTCGACGACTGGGAAATGGATTGTCCATCGGCGTCGCTACTTTTACTCAAACGGGTGCGTTGGTGTCGTAAGGACATGTATTTCGAGATACCTACGAAGCGTCTTGTGCGATGTCTGGAAACAGTTCGTTGACATGGCGCAAATCACGGGCATTCGTTGAATGGCCGTCACCCGAAAAGAAGTTGGAAAGATACACGCGACTGCAACGTGAAAGGTCTATGCACAGCCGTTCCAGCGACGTATGTCGAATCAATTCGGTGCGGTGATGGGACTAAACAGTCGAGACGCTACGCGAGACGATGTCGAGGTATGTGGTGTTTTTTTGCGGCTGCTTGTTTCCTGTCTTGCTGATCAAGACATGTTCAAAAGGCATAACGCGGTCGCATCGGCACCTTCAGCTGCATTACTGTTTCCTGATGTGAAGATGCCGTTGGAACATGCCCTGACGGTGGAGACTTGTGCCGGGCATGCTATTTGCGGCAACTTCGACGAGCGGTGTGCTGCTTCCCACAGCGTCACAGGCCGCAGCGCGCCCATCAAGCGAAACTTTCTGGATTCTCGATCTTTTTTCAGCTGTGTGCGACATCCTGTCAAGCTTCGTGTCAACTGGACAGCACGTGCTTCCTTTCAACTCTCGGCAAGGCGATACGACAAACTAGGCAGCAACTACACTACGTTGAGATCACGCAAGCTCCTCCGAAGCAGCGAGACGTCGCGACCCATTTCTACTCAGTTGCACACAGCCGTCGACTTTTCTACAGTCCAAGCAATGGTCTCTTCGGTTCGACAGGCCCATGGAATAAAGCGCTGTGGGACGTTGCCAGTCAAGTCGATGCATGCGCTTGGCCTTGAGATCGCCCGAGTGTTCAGAAAGGTCTTTCACAGTTTCACAAAAGCTGACAACCTGAAGAAGACAAAGTGTCCACAGCGTCTCGCCCTGACAGACAGTTACACGGGGCACCTCTACGATACAACGATGCTCGTTCTCGGCAGCAGATACCAACCCATCCAAATCCTTTCGACGCATCGTTTTATTGCAGATGCCACATGTGATCTCTTAGACGTTCGCGAGAGCGCATCGCATGGAATTTTCGACAACATGGCAAGTCAACTGTAACGACAGCGGTCAGCGCGCGTACGTACGTACTCTTGATCATCTGAGGCTTCGTGAACTGAATCGAGTGCACGTGAAAGCGCTCTGCAAGAATCAGCTAGAGTAAGCCGGACAGACTGCTCGAAGCGTCTAAGTCAAGTTTCGGTGCTTTCACTCGCTGTTGCCGGTCATAGGGTTGTACCGTGACCAGAACACACATGCAATGCAGTATGATTCAGCGCATCAAGACAATGTGGTAATTACTTGTTACCCCACTGGGTTTTCTCGAAGTCATGGCCATCGGCCCGTAGATGGAGTTGTGGTTTGGACCATAGCACATTGTTCACGATCCTCGTATCGAACTTCTTTGCGATGCACTTGCAGCACAACACTGGTGCTTGCATGTCATCAGCGCAGCAGTGTACCACGCATTTCCCTAAGCAAGAAGAATGCACGTGGTAACATCGGCAGCAGCCTTGACTTTGATCTCTAATGGTCGAACGTCGATGGCGATGTCCACATCGAAACGTCATCGTACCACGCAAGCACCTTTTGTTGACCTGCCCGCAGACCAGTGTCCTATCCCGACTGTCAAGTCTCTCTCGAAACGAGCTGCATTCGTCGACTGTCAGGTCAATATCTCGTTGGGAAGAGTCCAGACTTGTTCGAATGGTTATTCTATTGTCGTCGCACTTCCAAGTACAGGTCCAGCGACAACCTGACACCTGATAAAGTCGAGTCCGTGGCGTTCGAGTGCATATGCCAGCATCTTGATGTGCTCTTGTGTATGGTACTCTCCTACCGCGATCAGTGTCGACGATGAATGGAAAGGTTATGCAAGCGCAACTACAATGTCAATCGATGTCAGGAACGGATCGCAAATGTGTACCAAGACGGCCACATGTGACTGACGCAACAATTGACTGACTGCTCATGGCACGTTCGTTGCAAGAGGCGTAGCTGTGAACGCATTGGTGTTCCCACATTGTTGGATAGCGAGTGACTCTCTACCGAGCTGTCTGTTGATCAAGACCGTTGCAGTCGGACAACATGCTGAGCACCTGTCCTTACGTGACGGCGTCATCTAGCATCACTGCTGACTATTACAGAGAATCAAGCCCTCGCTTCGCAATGGCTCGCAACTACGAACAGTAAGTATCCTGTACTGCTAAACTTGTGCGTGCCACGTGCTCGCTCGTCCACGTGTGCGGGTCAAAGAGACGCGTCCGTCACTGAATGTCGTGAAGCTGCTTTCGGTACACCTTAATCCCACGTAGCAGTCACATGCTGCTTGTTCATGTGGTCCCCAATAATCGCTACTTGTCGAATAGGCCGACATCCACAACCACCACAACCTGACATGTCTCGCCACAACGCCGTTCACCAGCGCTCGTTTCCTTGCAAAAAGCACAATTGCCAGCCATAAGAACTCGACGCGGTGCACAGCACTCATACGTGCTTCCAACTTGTGCTCTTGCAGCTCTGTCGCTGTCGAAGCGTTCAACTGCCTACCAGTAAAGATAAAAGCGCTACAACAAAGCATCGAAACTCTGGTCCATGACGCATCGAGTGTTGCCTCCTCTCTCTATTGCTTCGCTCTGGCAACTACTTATCCCCTGCTCACGTTCGTTTTTTGCCGGTCATTGGGTGGTGTGTTCGCCGACTTCAAGCTCGACTCGTGGTCCGTCCATTGTCTTTGGCTATTGTTTCCAGTCAGTGCATTGTTGTTATGCAGCGCATCTCTGTTCACTCGATCAAATCGCGAACAACTATCGTCGACGTGACCATTTCTGAAGCAGTCGACGACCCTCTCGCATGTTTCTGATCACCGTATGCATCGATCGGTAAACAAGAGAGAGAACAGATTGTCTATTTACTGGTTAGTGCAAGATCTCTGGTAGGTTGTTAACCACACTAGCAACGCTGGAGGGTCCAGGCATTGCCTACGGCTGGCAGCCTGGCTATGAAAGCCGGGCTGCCCTCTCGGTTCTGATATAAATATGTCGTAACATGCAGAAAGTTGGGCGCCACGCACGGCCGTGTCAGCCCTGCAATGGAGACGTTTGATGAGCGCCCGCAATTGAAGCTGAATCCTCCCCCAAATCATGGCTTCACTGGCTTGCATCGGGATTTTCGCATTGTGAAAAACTCTGTCCACGCGGTGTTGCCAGAGCATTGTGATGATGACGGTCCCTGCGACCTCCCAGATCGTCCTCCAGGCCGTGGCGAATTGATCGATGTCGTCTGGGTATCTGACTAACAGCATTGCCGTGACCTGCGGCGAAATGCGTGGTACTCTACAGTTTGCGCAGTGCTCGAGCCAATCCAGTATATGGTGAGGCTTATGAGGTGTGCTCTCCCAATGACTGATGAGCCGTGCCCAGATTGCCTGTGCACGGGTACATTCCCAAAAGAGATGCTCCTAGGTCTCCTTCTGTCCGACACATTCTCGATACGTGCAAGACCCGTCCGGAGGCCGGTCCTGATACCAAAAGTTTAGCTGACCGGTAGCGTGGCGGTATCGTGTCCATAGCTGATATTCCGTCACCGCGTGTCCGTGACCCCATAGATGAGCCGGCGAGACATCGAGAGCTGCGCGTTGCCAACGGTTATGCTGGCTCTTGGTGCCCAGTCTATCAATGACCTGCTTCAGCGGTGTCGCAAGACACCGCTTAGCCGACTTGAAAGCTTGCCGTTTCAGGAACGAGAAGACGTGATGATTGGGAACCGTTAGCGGAGCGGACCATGGAAAGCGGTGGACCTGTGGGTTGGAAAAAAGACGACCCCATTTCGGATGAGCCTGCACTCCGCGAGTTGGGTGATTTCCTGCGTTTTTCCTTGGACCCGCGGCGGTTCCCCGTCGAAAACCCATGAAATGCCATTCTGGCATTGAATGAGCTCCCAACGCTGAGGGTGAATAGAATTGTCCGAGCCAGAAGTGCCCCGAACCCTACCCGGCCCGACCGGCACCCAAGTGATGGCTTGTGTGAAAGGGGGCTGATGCCTTAGCCGGAGTGGGGCCGGGGCCCCCACCGGATTTCCTACATCAAGTGACGGCGACGAGAGTAAGACGATGATCGCCCATTCTCGAAGTTTGGCATGGGAATGGCGGGGGGCGAGGAGGTCCGGGCAAATGCCGCCGAAGACATATTCCTGGGGTCCTGTCCGCTGGATATGGAGTTGTTCAAAGGAGATATCGCCGATCCTGTCATACTTGGACCGGGACAACGCCGATGCCTGTGGGGTGAGAACCCAAGGGTTTCCACTCCACCGGAAAGTCAGCCAGAAGTCTTCGATCCCCTGGGGCCAAAACTCTACTGACTGAGGCCGACTGGGAAGGGGTTCAGAGAGATGCAGCACCCAGTCGTTTTCTTCCCACCAGCTCGTCGATGATGATCGAAGGGTCGGTAGATGGTCCTGTACCCGTGCGAGAATCTCATCCGTTTGCGCGGGTGTCGGCGTCAATGTGCATCCGAGCTCATAAAGTACATCCAGATACCGCTCTGAAGACGGCGATACAATGTGTCGCACGCTCGGTCGATGCGGACTGATGGCCGGGATGTGTGCACCATGCGTAACCCAGGACACCCACGCTGAGTGATAACCATCCTCTGGCCGAGTAAGTGCCAGTATCGATCGGTAAACAATGTGATTGATGCATCGACTTCCTCCTCTCCGTGCGACTGTGGATAGTGCAAAGCGTTTCTATTCATAGCCAGACCACGTGACGATCGGGGAAAATGTTGAGCATGCGTGTCCCGTCTACTACGGGGGGGGGGGGGGGGTCCACGCGCGTGCGCTCCTTTGGTCCTGATGCGATGCGATGGACGGAATGCCGCAGAGCAATACGGAGGTACGTACTCTCGGCACATTTGTAAAAAACATGATCGTAGCTGCCGTATCATTTGACTGCCAGTATCAAATGCGCCACCAACTTGTGCTGAGTGCCCATCTGCCGCTCGTCGTTGTCTTTATTTGCAAAAAGACACGTACGAGTCTAGTCGCACGTGCTGTCGGATATCGTCGAGGTGACTGCCTCGAGCCATCAGAATCTTGCTGTCAGGTTGTGAAGTCAGGTAGTCTAGCGTGGCTCCTCGCTTTCTGCAGAGAGGCAATGGCTCGGATTCCTAGCGCGAGACTGACTGCTTGCGACCAGAGAACTTTGAAGCGAAAAGTGCTGGAAGCTGTGATCTGTAGCGATACATGATCGACCTCACGTGCACAAAGCTATCGCAACGCAATAATGCCACACGCAGCATCTCGAGCACGTACGACTACTGGCGTGATTTTGATGCAGCAGACTGGAAGACAGACCTCAACACTGCCAGTCACTGACTAGTACGGAACAGTGGCATCTACCGACTGCTACTTCAAACGCACGTCGAAATGGTCAGCTCAAAGTGCGATCGTGCGATAACATAGCGGTGCTGCCAATGGCGACGACTGAGTATGCACTGGACGCCAGCCACAAAGCGTCTAGACGAGTAGCACAGACCTTGGCACGTGATGCATAAAGAGAGTAACTGGGGCCAATGCAATAACCAAAGCACCCATAGCCATACCCGAATAATTGAGTACATGCTGCTCTTTCATTCAAGTGGAGCGATGCGTGAGCATTCACATAAAGGACGAAGAAGCCATGACGAGGGCGTACTTGGCACCTTCCAGCGTGACTGACGTGGCCCCGGCCCACTTATCCCGCACACTTCCGCATGTGATCCCATCATCACCCGAAACTAACGGCGGGTCGACTTCATGTGCACCACACGACGCCACCCACGTCCTGGCAAAACCGTCACCACCCATCCACCGCCACCGCCTCAAGACCAGTCGCCCTTTTGCTTCGAACGTCTCATCTCCAGCGCGTGATACCCCAAAGTCCGACTCTCTCTCTTTCTCTCTATCTCCATCTCTGTCTCCGTCTCTGTCTCTGTGTGTGTGTGTGTGACTGTCGATCGCTACCGCTGCGATTGAAAGATGGACACTCCCAGTGAACATTCGTCGCTACTCCACTCCAAAGACACGACAACCAGTGCCCGCAACAATACCATCTACTCCATCGACTTGGGCCCCACGACCCCTCGTACCACTCGTACTGACAAGGACAATGACGCGTGGGACGTGGCCATTTCCGACCTCACGCTCGCGACGATCACACGTGGCTCGAGCTTTGTCGCTGCGAGCTGTCGGTCTCTGTCCGTGACCTCGTCCGACGGCGCCAACCTGCGTGGGGACGACGGCGACGACGACGACGACGACGGGCCCACTACTACTGCAGGTCTCTCCCTCGACCTCGTCGACTCGCCGCGGTCGTGCGCTTCTTTGTTCCCAGCTGGCAATCGAGAAGACGCTGCGACCGAAGAAGACGAGCCGAACGTTCGCGACGAGTTCTGGCGGTCCATGGCGCTCGCGTACCCCGTGGTCGTAACCTATACGCTCGAGTACCTCCCCGGGGTCGTGGGGATTGTTCTCGTGGGCCACATGGACTCGCCCGACACGAAGCGCTTTGTCGCGGCCGCAACCCTATCCGCGATGTTTACGAACGTCTCGTCGCTGTCCATTGGCTTTGGCCTTACTTCAGCTTTGGATACGTTGTGCTCCCAAGCATATGGTGCCGGGAAGCTCAGTAAACTCGGCGTGTACTTCCAGGCCGGTGTGCTCGTGATTGGCGCGTGTCTGGTCCCCGTGTTCCTCCTCAATTGGCACGCAACGACGTTCCTGATCTGGTCGGGTCAAGACGCCCACGTGGCGCAACTGGCCGGCGAGTTCTCGCGCGTGACGGTCTTTGGCGTCCCGTTCCTCTTTCTGTACGAACTCGCGCGGAAAGTGCTCCAAGCGCAGAACATTGTGCGGCCCATGGTGCTTTTTGCGCTGGCTGGGACGTTTGTCAATGTCGTTGGCGGCTACGCGCTCACGTACTGGACGCCACTGGGGTTCCACGGGGCAGCGCTCTCGCGCACATTGGGCTACATGGTCCTCCCGCTCTGCCTCGTGCCGTACTTTGTCGTGAGTCGCAATTACCGGCTCTGGTGGAGTGGATGGCAACTGAAGAAAGCGTGGGCGCTCGTGCCGCTGTTCATGCGACTGGGACTGCCCGGCATGGCCATGATGGTCTTGGAATGGTGGGCCTACGAGCTGCTGGCCGTCCTGGCAGGCAACTTGCCCGATGGCGTCGTGGCTGTGAGTACGCACGCAGTGCTCATGAACGTCGCGTCCATGATTTATATGGTGTTCATGGGCATTTCAATCTCGAGCAACATCCGTGTCGGCAACTGCCTCGGTGCGAATTGTCCCAAGAAAGCAAGAGTTATCAGCTACATCACGCTCAGCACCGTCTCGGTGCTCTCGTGCTTCTTTGCACTGCTGCTGTATGTCCTGCGCCATCAGATCCCGCTCATTGTGATCAATGACCCCGTGGCTGTCCAGCGGGCGTCGAATGCGCTGTTAGTGCTGATACCGTACGTGTTTGTCGACTCGCTGAATTGTGCGATCCAGGGAATCTACAAGGGAGCTGGGTGGCAAAACATGGCTGCAAAGACTAACGCGATTGCTTTCTATGGCATTGGTATCCCGCTGGGAGCCGTGCTGTCGTTCCATTACGGTGTGGGGATTGAGGGACTATGGATTGGCTTTGGCGTTGGTGTCGCCACAGCGCTCACAGTCTGCAGCATCAACCTGTATTACGCGAGCTGGGAGCAAATGGCACTCGAAGCGCGCGCACGGTTAGCGCACTAAGCGACGACGAGTGCTAAGCGTGCAGTGCACTACGTGCTTGCGTCGCGTGGTATGCAAAGACCAAAGTGGTCAGTTTATTTATGCCATCTGTGGAAGTAACAAGTACAGATACGGCAGACACTTGGATCGGTCCAAGCTCTGGGCCACGTGACTTGACGAAGAGGATCGTTCAGTGCAGTGTGGTTGCTTTGCGCTCATGTCACTGTGCATGACAACAAGTTGCCAGTCTTCAGCTGGAGGAACGACAAGAGGGGTACAGTGGATGTGGTGTGAGGCGTTCGATTAGAAGCGCTGCATTTGTCGTTGCGAAGGGAGCTCGGCAAATTACGCCTGTATGTAATGTCTGACACGATATTGGTATATCACACGCATGCAAGCGCGAGGGCAAGAGGTTGATCGATAGATAGTGCATTGTGTTATAGTTTTAGGGTCCAGGACGTATCTCGCAGCTATCGCTCTTCCATTACGTTTCTAATGTACCATTTATTTCATCGATCTATAAACGACGCACACTGGCAATGATTCGTGACACATACCACACCAAACTGACAGAGCGCATTGGTTGCCATCAAATGCACAGCAAATGGACTGTTATGCTAATCGATCGACGATCATTTGTGTTCATGTCGATGCTCTGTGGTTCCACCAGCTGATACGTTTCGAATGTGATGCTCTCGGTATTTAGTTAGCAAAGAACAGTCAGATGCAAACGATCGTTCATGGTCTACCACTTTATAGTTGCCACTGCCTTGCAAATACACAGCTGAGACCAAACGCGTCGATCAGCCGATGCACAGCTATGAGCAAAGGTATCGATCAGCTGTGTTCTTTACGATGTAATGCAACAGCATCGAGCTCCGTTGCATTTATAGAGTATCGCTACGGTGGAATTATGTGTTGAGGTACATCACAGTCATTTACAAACCTAACGACTCGCCAATGTCCTACCGCAAGGAGCTTACACATCTCTTAGCAGCTTACCAACATCTAAGATGTTAGCGTGGGCAGTAACAATACTCTGTCTAAGTTTGTAGTCGACCGTCGGCCTCGGCCGGATGACCCGTAGCAGAATGCATGGAAATCCAGTGATTGATGTCCCCCATTGAGAGAATCGAGAACCACTGTCCATGTCGGTGGCACTTGTGCGAAGTCCTCCGCAAGGACCTGGGTGCTCTTCCCTGTATCCATAGCGGTATTCGTCAGGGCGTCAGCCATTTGATTGAAGTGACGTAGTTGGTGTGCCCAGTGCACGATATGTGCAGCTTATCAGCGATGGTGCGGTATTGTTCATATCATCACGTAGTCGGGATGATTTAGGCGGGCTGCGTCGGATCAGGTGTCGCAGGATAAGTTTACTCTCCCCAACGACGTGATCTCTCGTAAATTGTACAAAAGTGCCTTGGCGTAATCCAACAAGGAGAGCTCTGTATTCCGCGCAATTGTTCGTGGTGGTCGTGGCTGCACAAGACACGCTGGTCATCTATTGAATTCTCGGGTGCAGGTCATCTGAGACGATAGCTACCATCGCCGACCCGGATCCGCTCGGACCCGGGGTTTCGGTGGAGATGACATCCTGAGCATGGGCGGGTCGGGATACTTGGTTTTAGTCAGCTCTGCAGGTCGAATTGTCCATGTCTCTTTCTTCCACCTTGACATGTTGACGCGTACAATGTACGCATTTAACGTCGAGTAGGGCCTATCTAGTGACAGTGTCCAAACTGTTGATACTAGCCCCGACTTGGACAGCTCGACGATCGCTTTGCGCTGACAAGGTCCCATTGTCGCTATAGTCAAGAAATCGATAGTTCGACCTATCCTAGATCCAATTTGAATGGACTAGACAGCCGAGTTCGGTACAACGGGTGAGAGCTAAGGTCGTCTACGCCACGGACTAATTGTCAGCAAGATCGAAAAAAGATTCGAAGAGATGGGTAACGTTCTTGCAAGAGACGAGCGATGTTTGCGACCCGAGTGAGAACGTAGGAAGATCAACTAGTGACGCAAGAGTCTTTTGTCGGTCTTTTGACGTTCACACGCAATAGTCTTTTGGTCCGTAACCGAACAATATAAAGCGATTCCATGTACTGGATAGGAAGGAAGATCACGAATTGTTTCATGCGCACACGAAAAGCCACGAGGCATGACGATTCAACTGCACACTCGAGCAAAATGTACCGCCAAAGGCAATCGACCTGATGGACGTGATACGAAACTGTGTCTCAATGCTTTCGTGCGTTATTTCTCACAGTCTGCTGTTCGACGCTACAATCAGGACTTCTTGAAATTCAATGCTTCGTTTACAGCCAGATACACACATAACGAGCCAAGTCCAGCACGGCGCGGACACGTTTGAGATCTATACTCACGCATCAACATTTCGAAAAAATACCCGAGTGAGATCGAATTTGCAATGCCTTGGCAATCAACCACATTGTCTGTCGAAGCATGCGGTTTTTCGTCCAGTATCAATCAGGAGGTAGCCCCATAAGGCTGGTCGTGAAAAAGTATGCGGTAAAGATCGATCGATACATGATACGTTCTTCGTTCTGTCAGTTGTCAGAAGTTATTTAGGTTCTGTATCTCCGGCGCAATGGAAAAACAAGTTATGCTACTTGTTGTTATGACAAATGGCTAGCTGCAAATCCGATTTTTATCTTGCACGCTTCTGTTGTTTCGAATTCACTCCAATTTGTCTGCCATCTTGTAGCAGCACTTGCTATGTTTATACCCTGTGGAGGAACATGTTCTCTGACCTTCGCATTCGCCGACTTCCTAAGTGATTACTCATGTGGTCTAGTAGTGAGCAGAGTATTTCTGGCCCACTTTGCATGTCAATTTGTCGTTCTGTACATCGGCACCTGATGGTGAAAATGATGAGCAATCAAAAGCAGTTGACTTATGCGCTTATCTTCGATCTACAGAAGAAGTGAACTGCGATTGGAAACTTCCGCTTTAAATGTTATCCTATATAGACGTGCAATTACTACCGAGAGCAGAGTGGCTGACGCAATGAAGACGATAGTCGAAACAGCACGTCTGTAGCCCATCGTTTGACGGCAACCGCTTCTGCAAAAAAATGATCGCACAAAACAGCAAGTCTTAGCAATGACATATTCCCGCAAGAGACGCGCATATTTCGATGACAGGTTCTCGCGAGAGACGCCCATTTCTTGAGGTGTTGCGTGGAGCTGAGGCCAAATGATCTCATACGGGCACGTTCGCCGATCCAGAGTGAAAGATAATTTTTCCAGCTGCGATCAATACGGCTACGTGTTTTGTCAGACACAGGCGGAGACCGGCTGGAGAAGTTTGACGAACCAATGGCTGCGAAATGTGATCCAACTAACGTGTGTGGGTATGCAATCGTATTTCTTCACATGACAAGTCATTTCGTTTGCCGTGATCGGGTACAAAACATCAAACTCTCGTGATTCTCTACACTACCTGTGGATACGGCCGCAAAATCACGATTATGTTTGATAAAGTGAACTTGACGCAACACTGCTAGAAAGTGTGCTCACACATAGCTATGAAGTGATAAGTAAAAGATTGTGCGGCCATGATCAAAGGAATGGCATCAAAGAAGTAAGCATCTCGACATTTCTGTATACATTTGGCATGCGCGGACGTAGCCACATGACGGATGCCCTGTAGCGGTTGCATTGCTGCAGTCTGTCAGTAAGGATGGCATAGCAAGGTGTGCGCTCAGCAAATTATGCTACCGGCGTAACGTGACATATCCATGCGCGACACAGGGTTTCGCATGTACCACGTGCAAGGATCATCTCACACGATCAGAATTGCAGTTGTAGGCCAAATATGCAAACGAGGGACCTGTGACTCCAATCGATGCTTTCAGTTGATCACAACGAGGCGCGATGTGGGTGAGTGCATTCTTTGTGAACAAAATGATGTCTCGATGTATTCGAGACTGAACATACACACTTGGACAGCAAAGAGTGTCCACAACAAAGCAACGACAAATGCAGCGATCTACCGTCTGACCGGTCGACGGATCCTGCAAAATTCTTGGTACTGAGACTTGTCGTGTGAGTGAGTGACTCGAGGAAAGCGATATCCTATTGTATGTTTGCGAGCACGGCGGTGCAGACAAAGAGCTCCTATAATGAAGGTAACGCCCCTTCATCCTCTCCGTCTCAAGCACAAAAGCACAAAATTGTCATCGGTCGTGGCTACCTTAGTACCGCATTTGTATAAATCAGCGTGGATGCTGATACACAGGGAGCTTACAACTTTGCTTCTACCGTCGTGTGTATAGATTTGGCCAACATGCTCACAAGACGTTGTTTCTCAATTCTGAACTCAAAAAGCTAGTCCTGGCGCTGCATAAACAGCGACTGATTGAGCGAATAATTATATATGACGACTTAGTGGTCATGCCGCATACGTATGTGCTCTGGTGCATATAGCATGTCTCCTTTTCATTCATTAGCTTCACTTAGCTAGCTCGTGACCTTCTCATGCATCAGCTTTAGTTAGCTAGCTCACGGTATTTGACGTGTCAAAGTAAGCAGCGCAGATAACGTAGAAGACAAATTAGCAGTCTATTTGATCGAGTTATATTTCATTCACCGCTTCACTTTCATGCAGTTGAAATCAATGTCGTGACTATCACGGTAAATTTTGCTAGCAAACAGATCGTTCCAAGTTAATGAATTCGTCAAGATTCATTGCTCCTTCCACCACGCAGGACCGTCTTACTGATCTACGTGTGACGATATAATGTCTCGCACGACTCAGTTGTTATGTGATGGAGTTTGTGCTTGTCTATCCATATATGTCTAATCTGTATCGGTCTGATGAATCGTTTCAGGTGTGTTGTACGCAATCGCAGCCGTGACAATTTCAGAGTCGATATATCTACTCTTCTCGTATTTGATTCGCTTTCGGTAGTTGTGGTCTTTATCCTCAGTTCTCATTGCCAGCAAGTGCTCAGCTTGGGGACATTAGCATATTTGCTTCGATGCGGCCAATGCTTCCCACAGTGTCGTACCAATCGGCGGAATCACCATGTTGACCATACGTTGCACCGCATCGCATCGCAGCGCAATGCTTTTGTATCCCACATTGCCTCGGACAGCTTCTCGAGCATCCCGTCTTGCTCAATTTGCTATTACGCTATAACGCTATAACGCTACTGCATTATTTACCAGGTGCAATATCTCTTCGTAGCGCTTCTTATCAATGGATGGACTCCCAAAGCTTCTTTTGAGATTATAATGTCGCAGATATTTGTCGACCAGGACCACACACATCACGGAGGGCACCTCTAGCACCTGACCTGCTTTCTTCTTCGCATAGACGTTCCCGCGGCGGCATAGTTCACCTCTGACAAAGCACGCTGCTTGTCGACAAATGATAGCCTAGACGTCGCACTTGTCTCTTTCCATGATACGTACGTATGCCCACGAGACATGACCCAACACTGGCAACTCGATATGCCAGAGACGAGCATACGATGATATGGTGTAGAGGAGAAGTACTATTCGAGTCTTGGATTACAAGTTAGCGCACGAGCAATACAGGTTGTCGTCTTCGTCTTACTTCAGATAAACGCTACGGACACAGTCACACTTGCTTGTCAATGACAAATTGTCGTGGCGAGAGGATCAGGCAAAGCGGTCAATTCAGATGCGTTCTGTTGAGTAAATCAAGCGAACAAACGATGACACGCCAACTGTCACTGGAAGCGACGACGTTGTCACAAATGTCATCACGAAGTTATGTTTTACATCAGCTTAGTGCACAACATGCGTTTCCACTATTCTGTGCTCGCTGTTTCATACGCAGCTGCTGAGTTGGTTCCACCACTGTAGTCTCTAACGATCCCACGAGTCGTCTCGTGTATGGTACGCCGTGTCGTATGATCGCCGAGATGTCCGAGAACGAATGTACCTGTCACTTGTGCAACTATTTGCTGGGTGTCACACGCTACATGTTGCCATCATACACCGAACTGACTGATGATCGCTCTATGGTTGCACATGGCTCTGCTGCTGATAACACAAGACTCGAGCCTTGTGCTTTTCGGTTGTCCTTCGCGACAGTGGAGGCAGTCTGATTCGACGCACGGCCGAATGCTTTCGTCGTACTGAAAGACGTGACTTGTTCAGCTTCTTACTTCCCTTAGAGGCGGCCAGGATAGCGGTCTTCACTCAAAGTTTACGTCTCGAACCTTTGGTCAAATATCACGTTGTGTTTCGAGATTACGCCTTTGTATGAGAAATGCTCATGTCCCAAGCGGAAGAAGTACGACGAGAGAGCCGAGCAAGATTGTAAGGTGCCGTAATCACACTGCGTCAACGTTCGAGCGCGCTCTTTTCTAAGAACGCGGATGCTGTCATTGTAGCGCTTTTATGCAAGCCGTGCGGCTGTTATTCGTGCGTGGTGAAACGAAATCTATTGTGAAGTGAGCATTTAAACGTTTGTACTTGTGCTGCAAAAAGCCAAAACAAAGTGAATACTTGTAAAGCGACTCAGATCGTTCAATTAACGTGTTCATTCATCTCACATGTCGCGTCGAATACGACGTCTAAGACAAACGTCAATCAAAAAGGATACGAAAGAGGCACATATCTGAGTTTGCGCGTCGTTCCTCATATGCGGCGGGGGTTCGGCTGGCCAGCGATGCCCAAATACAAGTATCAACTAAGCCATTCCCACTCTATTTGCATCCCCACTCTATTTGCATCCCCACGCTATCGCTACTGAACACAGCTCAATGATCTTCCTGTCCCACATAATGACCCAAAAGATACGTTTATGTCACGCCCCAGCAGATGACGTGGCTTCGATAGATACAAGATTCGCGTTATCCTATAAGCAGCGACGTGTTTTTTCGCTCGCCGCATCCGGTACGGCGTGTTGCAAAGACCCATTACGTGGCACACGTATCCCATCCCATCCCATCCCTTCTCCTTCTTTCCACACTATGCAGCCGTCGCATCGAAAGGGTATATGGGGGTATCGATCCCATCCCATCCCTTCCAACAATCCAACAACCCAAACGACAACACCACTATGTAGATCACAACATTACTTTTCGTATTTTAAAGCATACAAAGCAAAGTCAATGGGCACACCAGCCGCAGCAGCTGCCCCACTACCGCCTCGACCGGCAACCGAAGCACTCAAGCCTCAAAGTCCACGCGGCCAACGCACCAGCAGCAGCCCCACACGTCCACGCCCCGCGCTTCTATGCCGGCCGGCCGTCCGTCCTCAGCGTCGCTCGCCGCGCCTAAAAGCACTTGCGGTGGACAATCGACGGACCCGACTCGTCGTACTCGGCCTTGGAGATCCACATCTGCTGGAACGTCGACAGCGACGAGAGGATCGAGCCGCCAATCCACACCGAGTACTTGCGCTCGGGCGGGGCCACCACCTTGATCTTCATCGTCGACGGCGCCAGTGCCGTCAGCTCCTTCGTCATGCGCTCGCCAATGCCCGGGTACATGGTCGTGCCGCCCGAGAGCACAATGTTGCAGTACAAGTCCTTGCGAATGTCCACGTCACACTTCATAATGGTCTGGAACGTGCAGTCGTGGATGCCAGCAGCTTCTTTGCCAATCAGCGACGGCTGGAACAGCACTTCGGGCGTACGGAAGCGCTCGTTGCCAATGACAATCACATTGCCGTCCGGCAGCTCGTAGCTCTTCTCGAGGCCCGACGACTCGGCCGCCGTCTTCATCTCCTGGTCAAAGTCGAGCGCAATGTACGTCAGCTTCTCCTTAATGTCGCGCACGATTTCGCGCTCGGCCGTCGTGGTAAACGAGTAGCCGCGTTCCGTCAAAATCTTCATCATGTAGTCCGTGAGGTCGCGGCCGGCCAAGTCGAGGCGCACAATCGCGTGCGGCAGCGCGTAGCCCTCGTAGATGGGCACCGTGTGCGACACGCCGTCGCCCGAGTCGAGCACGCAGCCCGTGGTGCGCCCCGACGCGTACAGCGACAGCACGGCCTGGATGTTCACGTACATGGCCGGCACGTTAAACGTCTCAAACATAATCTGCGTCATGCGCTCGCGGTTGGCCTTGGGGTTGAGCGGCGCTTCCGTCAGCAGCACCGGGTGCTCTTCGGGCGCCACGCGCAGCTCGTTATAAAACGTATGGTGCCAAATCTTCTCCATGTCGTCCCAGTTCGTGACAATGCCGTGCTCAATGGGGTACTTGAGCGTCAGCACGCCGCGCTTCGACTGCGCCTCGTCGCCCACGTACGCGTCCTTCTGGTCCATGCCCACCATGATGCCCAAGTGCTTGGGGCGCCCCACGATCGAGGGGAACACGGCGCGCGGCGCGTCGTCGCCGGCAAACCCGGCCTTGCACATGCCCGAGCCGTTGTCGACCACGAGCGCCTGGACGTCTTCGTCAGCCATCGTGAGAGCGAGTGAGAAAGAGGGGGAGAGGGAGAGAGAGAGAGAGAGAGAGAGAAGAAGAGATCGCGATCGGGTGGGGACCGGGAAAAACGGGAAATGAGCTGCTGGAGCGGGCGGGGGGCGGGGGGCGACGGCGCGAGGGGGTGAGTGGGTGCGGTTGCGCGAGTGGGTGTGGATGTTGTGTGGACGGGTGCGAGGTCATCCCTCCTGGTGGATAGAGTGGGCAAGGGCGTGGGGCGTGTCAGCTGGCCGCGAGCGAAGGGGCAGGCGCGGCCATAGTGACTTCAAGTACACCGTTGCCGTTTCGTGACGGGGCGCGAGGCGGGAGGGTGTGGATGTTTTGTGTGAGGTGGCGACCAGACAGTCGTCTGAAGTAGCGCTGCGGTCGCTACTTCGGGAGACGGACGTGGACATGGCGACGACAAGCGAATAGTCGACCGAGAGGTAGGGAGCAAGCGCTTTAGCGCGAGTAAAAGCCGCGATAGACCTCCTTCATGTGGAAGCCGCTGCTGCACTCTCGAGAAGCGATATCGAACGAGCTCGGACGAGGGCAGAGGCTGTGGTCCGATCGATATCTCCTGTAGGGCTCATAATGCACGGACGCAGCGCAGTCTTAGTCGTGGCTGCAAGCGGCGAAAAGCCTCATGACGCGTTTTTCGTGCTTTTTCGTGCGGTTTAAACGCGAAAAGGCAGGTACGATAACCGTAGTTGCTGTTTTTATGTTTATCGTTGAAGGACAAAGGCCTGCTTTTATCGAATAAACCTGTTTTTTTCGGACCGTGAGTTAACTAACTTCGGGCACATTCGAGGCACGATCGGAGATTTTTTCACCCGGGTGCGACACCCCCCCCCCCCACCATCTCGTGCGTGTATCTATCTATCTATCATTCGGGAGCAATACAATAGCGACATTGTGACGTGTAGGCGGCCCACCGGGTACCTGCCAACTCTTTGCTTCCCTACAGAGGAAGCCAGGGACATGACCTTGCGCGACTTTTCTTCCTCGGCGCTAGACGACCGATCAGCAACAGTCGACGCAAACGTTGGGTCATAAAGCCACCGACAAGTGGCATCGTCTGCTCTTCGATACTGACGTGGCCTTGGAATGGTCGCAAGAAGCGTCCGGATCGTTCTGCAATGCGACGAAGTTGCGGATGCAAAAGGGCGTACGTGCGTACAAATCGATTCCGCGTAGCGACGCGCTTTCTCACATGCTGCAGAATGCTCTTCGCACAAAAAGCTCAGCAGCGGCTCTGGGGCTCTTGTCGCTGGACCGACCTGTTGGTAGAAGGCACTTCCTTCACTAGCGGTGCGTGGGAATCCCCGTGTCGAGCTGCTTACAACGTGTCCTGCTTGACGACGAGCGACAGCTGTCGATTCAGCGTGCAGAAAGTCGCGGATACACGCACGTTCGTAGCACCGAACGTAGACGGGCAGGCACAAGCCAGAAACTGACGCGGTCTTGTAGAGCTGCATCGATTATGTATAGGAATAATGTATTCGGTCAATTTGCGCTTTGACGAATGTCGTGTCGTTTGCCAGCGCATCGTCGAACAATGTTGGAGCTCGTTACCACGATGCCGCTCCTGCCACCTGCAGAACTGACGATTGGCCGTGACAGACCGACATTGTCCTCGTGAATGCATCAGACGTGACTCGAACGTCGTCAGAATTTTCGACTTGTTCATATAATTGCCATCGACTACTGACAGCAGATGAGGTATCACTGAGTCAGTGAACGTGCTGTGGACAGACATACGATGTACCCTACACGTGCACGCAACGCCGCCCTGAGTTTCCTTGATGCAGGCCTTAGCGATTGCGTCTCGATGGCAAGCAGCAAATCGCCCACTAGCTTTACTGAGCTCCATGAAGACCTTATCGATACGTGAGCTTGCGTACTGACACACAATGATGCAGGAGGGACGCAATACACCTATCTAGGCCCGTGTGAGATCTGGGCTCACTTACGTTGAGCTTGTCGAGCCAGTCGTGGCACTTCAGTGCACGACGCAGCTACGTGTCTTCATCGCTCTGCTTGTAGACGACCTTGTGGTTGTAGGTGCATACGGTCATATACTGAACACTTGTGCGTGGTCATGATCGGGCCATGGAGGCTTGTCGCGACGTCGTGGTAAGACGGTAGGCGTAGTAAGATAATAAAATACGGCTGTGTCTATATTTATTTACAAAGCCTGTCGGTAAATGCATTCAGTTAAGGTTTCGGGTTCACTGAATAATGCGCGGTCCGTCATAGCGCAGTCGTATGGTCATGACGTCGTGCACACGGACAGTCGCCGGATCATATGATCGTTGCCAAAAAACACATACGAACTTGTCCCCGATGTTTGGCACACTTTTTAGAATCTCAAAGACGAAAGATATCATATCCTGTCGCGCAAACGTTTTCGCGTCTTTACAGCTTCTATAATGAGTATACACACGATGCTTTTTTCTGTGCTCGTTTTTGTCATTGGCAAAAAGCAAGAATCTAGGTGGAGCTATAAACGACCGAAAGCTCCACAACGAAGAAACATCACCTCGAAGCCAATCTTTATCGCGTATCGTCTGGACGCACGCGTATACTTGCAACTAGTATGTCCGGGAGGGTCAACGACGATAACGGACATGCTGTGCTGTACAATTGCTCAACGTATTGCCAGTTGTGTGTGCACCTAGAAAATAACCGAGTCATTTCACTGTGTTGAGACTCACGGCTCCGTCGTCAATCAGTCAATGCACCAGATGAACATGAACGCTACTCTTCGTCCCACATTCAGTCACCACAGCGCATCCAGCTCGAGGTGAGTGTTCATCGATTTTCAAAAGACTGATGACTTGCGAGCGTACTTCCGCTGATCAGCCACGAACTAGAACGACGGTACATGGTCCTCTGTAAGTGGAGTATGTTTGAGGATGCTGATTCCTGTATGTGAGATCGGCAAGTGCGAACAAAACAGGAGGATGTTGTGCAGTCGGCAACGTACTTTGAAGATGTCGGAGAAGTGGGCCATGAAGCTGATACGACGTGCTCTTTTGCTTCTTCACGAACAGCACCAAGCAAAAAGTAGTTACTTGTTGTCACGTCAACAACGCATGCCTGTGCCCGCTTTGCATTGCGTTGCGAGGATCCCAGATGAATAGAGTGAAAAAGGTTTAGTTACGATACTGCAAAAGCTGACAGCGGAGCTTCGATCGACGACATTTTTACCTTCGTGCATCACGGTACGCTCGCATCTCGGGAGGACGCAACTTATACCTAGAGCAAGTTTGTCTTTCATGTCAACAACCACACGTGGAGACAGAAGTTATATAAGGTTGCCATGACATTGTAGGCGTATGCGAGTACAAAAACAGAGTGGGAATTCTCCGTCATGGGCTTTACTGCTACAAGATTTATGCATTGGCCTCATTGGGGCATTCGGTATTGCTGCTCAGCTATTCAGGTTGATGCACATATGTTCTAGTGGCTGTATCTCACTTGTACCTTCTCGGCAAGTCCTTTGCAAGTAAGACTTGTTAGCGTGCGTCCAAGTGCTCAAACTCTAGTCTGTAGTGCTTCTGTATTGGGCAACCGACATGCAACATCACTCGTTGCTATGGGTGTTACATCATCAAGCAGGGAATCTCTTCACACACTAGTAGCCCGTGCTCGAGCTTGACAATCAAGTGAGGGCGTCGCGTAGGCCGTGCTTGATGTGTTGATTGGACGCGCATCTACTGCTCCAAAACATAGACACAAGATTGCCTAAACCGGCGCATATGTGGCCTTGTTCGACGGTCTACTTGGCTAAGCATTCGCCAGCTTCAACGATGTAGTCTTTGATAGCTGGGGGTGGGTTCGTGTGTGCGTTGACAGCTTCGTGTCGGGCTGAATGACCGTCTTAGATACACTCAAAAGGGACGCTGCAACAAGACACACATCGTCATGCTCGACTTTAAGCGTATCCATATTGCCTGATTGGCAGCATAAAGGCACGCAACATCTTTGCGACAGGATCGCTAGTAATGAGAAATTGTCTATCGCCACTTAAGGTGCCGAACTGTCATAGTTTGGCAGCTCATTATAGTTCAACGTGAGGATACAGCATGTGTACCACAGGTTGGAGTATGACCGGTGGCTTGTGCTTCTCCACCGTAGTGTAGCGGTGACCGAGCCAAGTTAGACGTTGTACACAGTATGTGGAGAGTCTACATATACTGTGTACAACGACTCCCACTATGATGCTATGACTCGTCTACATACACTCACCGCGATCATGTTTTTTTACTGAGGAGCAACAGGTCCGGTAGATGAGAGCGTGTGCTTTCGTCGCCGCTTACATGTCATGATTTGTTTTGTAATTGCAGTGATCCGATGCTCACCTCATGTTCAGTCCAAACGTGGGCAGAAAGGAGTCGCTGTACAGCTATAGCATCACTCTCATCCGGAGGTAGATGCTCGCAGTCAATACTGATCGTACGAGTCCTGATACCTGCAGATAGAGGACAACGACGCCGTCACCGAATAGGATATGTGTACCATTGCCATCTATCCTTACGACCAGCCTGTCAATTTATCAATTGCACTGTATGCATCGACCCTCTACTAAGATTATGAGGCATCGATCAAACTACGCAACACGTGCTCATTGCGTCAGCGGCCGTGACAAGCTAGAAGCTAAACATTGCGTCTCGTGCCAATCGTGTCCTTCCCTCCTGCCACGTCTGCAACAGCAAGAAAGTATGTGGTCACCACATCAGACCGAACTGACGTCATAGCAAGCTGGTATGCAGCAACTTCGATCCGCCTGCCATGGGTACGTCAACAGCCTCATTAAGCTGCACGTGAATATCGATCGTCTCGTGAGATCGAGGGCACGACGTATAGCTACAACTCTTCGGCTGCGAGAATTCGATCTTAGCTTTATCCCTCGTCGCATTTGTATCCGATACACTGCGATCAACAACTGGCTTTGTAGGAATGCAATTTCACCCATGCAAGGCCAGTGATTGGTCGC